ATTTTCTTCAGGAAAAAAACAAGAATCATTTAAGAATTAGGGTTGTAAATCTCCCTGTTCAGGCCAGTGAGCTGGCGTCGCTGATAGATATTTGAGGAGAGAACTGTCAAGACAGAATAATTTAATTGCTCTATTTGTAGATTGTATTTAATTAGAAATAAAAACGCAAGTATGTTAGAGGCTTACACGTCTGTTCATTAAATTACTGTTGACTTTTTTCATTGACATTCCATAAATGGCAAAGTTAAGGTTAACAGTATAAATAGGGGTGCCGAGGATTATGAAAGGGGAACCCATGCAATTAAAAAAAATGGCTTACATAACCTGGTATCATAATAGACAGAATATTTATTTAACTTGCAGTAAATTGACACACCTCTAGACAGAGACAATTATGACTGACTGTAAAACATCTGACAGAACCAATTATGACTGACTGTTGTTTGCTACCTTTGCACAGAAATAAATGAAACACAGATATTTGGAACAGAGACTGCTGCCTGTGTGTCTGAGCTTGCTGTAATTAAAATACAATAACCAGTAGGCGATGTAAAAAATTCAGTAGCTGATTTAGTGTGTTCTTTAACTCTTTGAATAAAAGTGTGAGACACGCATGATGCTGTACATAAATGATAATCTGCAGCTTTTTTGTGCATTCCCAGATAAACCAAAATTTTGGCACTATGCTCATAGGCACCTACGATGTTTCTCACGTACCCAGGGCAGATACATGCACACAAATACAAAGGAATGTGAATATATTTTTACTTCTCACTCTGAAGAGCCAGGCTATCAACAGAATAATCAGGGGGAGAGAGTTTAATAATATGACACAGTTCAGTTGTCCAATCAGTAGGAGAAAAAAACAGAAGACTTTCACCAAGCCACGTCTTAGGGAATCCAAGAACAAAAGTTCTTGATCCTGACTATCAGGTTATTCGGTGTGATTTGAATAGGAATGAAGAGAAAATGCAATAAATGGAAAGTACATGGCCAGGTATAGGTAACCTCCAAATATTTCCGTCCTTGCTTCCGGCATCAGTACAACAGTGGGGATAAATGGATTTCAGGTACCTTTTAATTCCCCCCCCCAAATAATATAAAAATATACCCAGGTAGCTAAGCAAGGGCTTGGATGGGGTGCTGAATTTGACAGGGACATCCAGAAGTTGAGGGTGTGTTTTGTGAAGGGAACAAGGGAGCTGTTACGTTGGCGGGGGAGGGGGTTAACTGCGTGCTTGGTGATATGATTCTCAAATCTTTACCGGAGTCAGTGATTTATTAACTTTAGAGAATACAGTACCTGAATTTTAATTATATACAGTCAGAAGCATGTTGTCCTTTTTTTTTTTTTTTTTTTTTTTTTTTAATTTCTATTAAAATAAATGTATTTTTTCATTTGTTATATTGTTTTGGTAAGATCTTTTGTATGCTCTGCATGTGTATATCTCTTTATGTATAGCCATATGTGCATTCTGCAGCAGTGGTTGTTTTAGAAGATTGCTTGCCACGGAACTTGGATATTATTAAAACAGTGATGGGGTAATAATAGGTATAGAACTATTTTGGAACGTGACTGACTACTGAAAGGCAATTTCAGTCAGTTTCTATAGCTTAGTTTTCAGGAGGCCTTAGGTGCATTATTGATTAAATTCTCATTTAGGAAGAAAGTAGGAGCTTTTATATGCATCTCTAAGTTGGATGGTATGGTAACTCGAAGGTATTGACTGGCTGTGTGATATATGACGGTCACAGTTGTCTTTTACTCAGAGGAGCACAGAGTGATGCTGGTTGTCATTCTTGCTCTGCTGTGTGGCAGCGTAAATAGTCCCCTTTCTAACCAACCTGGTGGGAAAAGTCAATATCCCATCAGCAAAGGAGGTAAACACATCAGGAGCTGTGTCCTCTCTCATCTTCCCCTGCTCTGTATTACTACAGTTCTTTAAATCTCTTCTCCGCAGTCATCAGATGCACTTGTGTCATTCAAATGCATGGTGTGGCTGTGCTGCAGACATAGCCGCTGCCTGCCTCTCCTCCCGGAGCTCCCGGCTTCCATTCTCTTATAATTGAAACTTAAAATTGGCCTCATTACTTCAACGAGGCCCCTCATATTTTTCCAGTTTTTTCAGTCCACCCTTTCCTGCTTGCCTCTACGAGTGTAATTGCATCTAAGAAATGTTTGAAGCATACTGTCAGAAAGGTTATCGCATATAATTGAAGTTTAGGTTTAATGCTGGGGGGGGGGGGGGGGG